AGAACAAGAAATGCATTGACTGCAGACACGCATGCAGTCCTGAAGGACTTTTGATTATAATGCAAGGCTTCAGCCACCTTCACAAAACTGCTTTCAAGTCTAAGACAGCATTAGGATTTTCCTAACTGTTGTGATCAGCCTCTGAAATCCAGTAGGAACACATTAGTTTTAGCACAGTATTCACAATGAATTTGAGAGGATTTTTTTTCTAACTTGGTATGAGACATGCCATATACAACTGAAATCAGGATTCCAGTGGCCATCAAACTCTTTCTGAAAACTTATCTAGAGAGCCTGTGTCTGAAATCCTTAATGACTGACACAAAAGATACAACGTATCAGACTAGACACCCATGACATTCTGTGGTGTGGTATGGTATGTGTCTTATTGAAACCAGCGCCATCGTTTTCAAGAGTTTACAAGTAGTAAGGCTATTTTAATACTAGGTTTTTATAAGTTAAAAAATGATTTTTGCATTTTCTTTAAAAAAATCCCAGTGTGTAACAAGTTATTACCAAGCATACAGTGTTTAGTTCTTCAACAAAACAAGTTCCTTCCTGTTCAAGGCATTTTAATCAGGCAGAACGGGGAATGGCCAACTTGCCGGATGCCTGCCACAGGTGGCATGCACAATCACTTTGTATGGCACATGGTATACCCGGCAGGGAGAACAGAAGCAGATAGGGCAGGGAAGAGAGAGAAGAACAACATGAGGCAAGGGAAGGGGAGCGGAGTGTACTTTGTAGCATGCCTGCTGGAAAGGTTGACCCCCCACTGATGCAGACAGAATACATTTCCTTTGTAAAAGTGACCAGGATCAGTATTACTGGAACCACAGATAGTTTTCTGCTGTTTTATCATGGTACTGATTAGTTTCACTTTCTATAGTTTACTTTGGAAAGTACACTTTGAAAATACAAAATATTTTTCAAAGTAGATTAGGAAAAGTACAGTAATCAGATTGTCACTAAACAGAATTTAATTATGGGATACAGTGAAAACCCTTTTTGTTAACAAACAGAGGTAGTAAACAGAAGGTCTATTTTAATAATCCTCAGGGTCAAACAAATGTGTACCTGAAAGTACATGGGAATACCTTGAATTGGTTGCTTAAAACAAAAGAGGTTGGTTGGCAAAATTTTACTGTAAATTCAGGGCTCCCCTTTTTGATTGGCAAGAAGCAACTGTTATTCTAACATGGCACACTGCTAGACAGCTGTCACCATCTTTCCACATTGCAAAGGAGCTACACAAAAAGTCAACAGCAAGCAATACAGTAGCTAAAAAAGAAACCAGGACTTTTTCCCCCCTCACATAGCATTAAAGGGATTTTTACAAATTGTGAAATGTTTTGTCATTTTCCCATATGCAACAATTACTAAGAGCACAAATACCTTCAGAGATAGCTATCCATTCAAACTAAGGGATTGAAACAGTTGCCATGGTTTTACAGTGATGACATCCTCCAGAGTTATCATCTGACATGTATACTCTCTGAGAATACAGCATCCTCTGAGAATAGTGCATTGTCTGGCAGTATTCTCAGATTTTCCCCATTAACCAGGTGCTCCAGAGGTCTTTCTGCACTGTGCCACATATTCCAACCTCCCTGAACTCAAAGAATTTAAACTTCAACCCAGAAAGCTCCATGCTAATGTTCAAGGGGAAACATTTAAGTAAGTAGGCAATTATACATGGAAATACCATCAAAGAATATCAACAAGTCATCTTCCAATTTTCTACAGGAAATCTGCTCACCAGGAAAGAAAAGTAGAGAACTGCCTGGGAAGGCAGAAAACCTAACAGGAAACATGTGGAAAGAATTCTAGTTTATATGGGCAAAGACAGATCGTGCAATCTGGTATAGTGGTTCTCTCTTATTTTATTCCCCAGCCCTTCTTAGCATGAAGGAACAAAAAGGCCAAACCACTGGGTTCAGCTGAAATCTGTTTGGTGCAGGAATTCCCTTCCCCTAGATTGTGGTGCCTAGTTAACTCTTGGCATAACCTGGAGCCTAGCCTCAAGGGATCATTCCAGCTACCATCAATGGCCTTCACAGAGCAGCACTCTAACCTTGCCCCCTACGTAGCGGGTGCAAGGGCTCACAGAGGACAGGCTTCATGCTACTAGAGGATTTTCCCAATCAAAAGGGAGCTGACTGAGATACAGTGAAATCTGTCACCACTTAAGACAGATCTCCTTTAAATGACTTAAGTAGTGCAATGAAGTCTCAGTAAGGCTACTTTGGGCTAAGTGATGATCATCACTCAACACTTAAAAGATTACCAAATGACACAGTAATGGGGTCCAGAACACTGCAATATAATCCTACAGTAAAACTACAAGTGTAGGACCGGACCATTCCTGTAGTTTGAATAAGGAAGTGTTTCCTGATTTGCTTTTTTAAACATGCAGGTTGAGTCCTTCTCTCTCATAAACATGGTGCCATCAAGGATAGAGATT